ATCACCTGGACACTTCACTCTGAGCTCTAGCCCTCTATGGCCATGTCTTTGACTATGGACTCAGGAATTTCAGGTCTAACGACACTTCAATCCAACCAGTCCTTCCGCTTCTCTATCTCATGTGCAGGTTAATGGGAGTTTATGGATGCATTTCATTTTATATATTCCTGACTACGTAGAATATGAGAAATAGGTGGAGCAGACAGTACTTGTGTAAAAAACATTAGTAGAACAAATATATCAATGAAGAAATTAAGATTCAGCCAACATATTGTTCCATTGATTAATAATATCCAGAAACCAAACCAACTACCAAAGAGTCAATGTTGACTATGGTGACCCTATAACATGCTTCAAAATAATTAACCTTTGATTGGCTATACAACAAACAACATTTTGTCTCTTGGGCAGGACTTGGGGTGACTAGTACAAAACCCTACTCCATCAGCAATACCAAGGCTCCTTTCACTTACACCATTGTTCTTGTTGTGTGTCATAGAGTCATTTCAGGCTCAAAGTGATCTTGTATGGAGTTTATGAAGTAAGTAATGGGTGTGAATGGCCAGCTTTCTGCTAAGAAGTCCAGTGCTTACCCCATTGGACCATACCAGGAATCACAAAGCCACAATAAAGACCATAAAATAAAGAAAGGTATAAATCAAAAGCAAATACACAGAGAATTTTTACAAACAAAGAAACATTTTATTGAGAATAAAATTTTTCCCAACAAGAGAAAGTCAGCACTTTAATAATAGAGAATCAGAGATTAAGGGAGTAAAGACTAACATATGTAAAATTGATGATACCATAGAACATCTGGGATAGCGTTGCCATTCTAGCAAAGAGCATGTGTTTTCTCAAAAATGAAAATTTTGGTACATAGGTTCTTTAATCTGAATTTCTCATAGGAGTGTCATTTCAGAAGCAACTGGTGCTCTGGTAGTGATGTCCTAACAGCAAGAAGAATAGCATTTTGTGTAGCTAAATGGGCGATAGCTATAGCAGCCAGAGCCAGAGCCATATCCACAGCCATAGCGGGAACCATATCCACAGCCATAGCCGGAGCCATAGCCACAACCATAGAGGGAGCCATATCCGCAGCCATAGGGGTAACCATATCCACAGCCATAGCCAGAGCCAGAGCCACAGCCATTGAGGGAGCCATAGCCACAGCCACAGAGGGAGCCATATCCACAGCCATAGCGGGAACCGTACCCACAGCCATAGCCAGAGCCGTATCCACAGCCATAGCCTGAGCCATAGCCACAGCCATATCCACAGCCATAGCGGGAACCGTACCCACAGCCATAGCCAGAGCCGTATCCACAGCCATAGCCTGAGCCATAGCCACAGCCATAGCCACCGTAGTAGTTGCAGCACATGGTGTCCAAAGGTGAAGTTTTAGTTGAAGTGTAGGAGGAGGATTCTGAAGTCTGACTGTCATCTGCTCTTCCAGGGCCTTTATATACTGCCAGGAAGGGGTGGGGCACATTTAACACAGATTCTGTGACATCATTACTACAGCAATTTTCATTTTTAAAAAGCTCATCATACTAAGGACAACAATATTTCCAGATGTTTATGACCAGGATATGACGCTAGCCAGTAAACACAGTATTAAGAAAGCAGATGCTTCCTACATATTAAACAAGTATATCTTGTGGAATGTTCAAAGACCAATATAGAGTTT